TGCGCAAGAGCCTTTATATTGCGTCACTGTTACTGTTGATGACACGCCTGTTATTGATCAATGATCAGAAGAAGCTGTTGATCGATCAGCTGTTGAAACAAACAAACATGACACAGCCAGCTCAGACAACATCCGGTCCTGGTTTTCAAAATAAGAGCCTGCGCTTCATGTTAAAAGTTTTACCTTTTTAATTTGGTGAAAACATTTAGAGTTTTAGTGATTTACTTTAATTAATCCCTTTTACAACCTCTTTCTGATCAAACTTGTTCTGTGAGCTTTGGTACTTCTCGTCATGTTTAATATTACTCATTATAAATCTATGAAATAGGTTTTATCTGCTGGACATTCCTGCTTAAATAAAGTGTATAAATCTATCTTTAATTACAGTTGGTTAATTGGTTTGAGGATTTCTCCTTGAGATTTGTTTTGTCAGTTTTAGACCCCTGTATAGTCAAATTTATAGAAAATTTAACTGCTAAAAAACAATTAAGTGAATTAATAAGAATATGAAGAATAACAATTAAAGGCGTAAGTTCTCAAGAAGGAATTTGTGTTTTGATAATTGCAGTTAAAAGTCGAGCTACAGCATCGCTGTCAATAATTAAATTTAAAGCTTCGGCTTTTTATTATTCTGAAAAGGGCAGCCCATCCTGATTTACTGCTGGATGTTCATATGCTCTCTCTCACACTCTCACTACAATCTTCTCGTGCAAACAACATCATTCCTTCTCATCACAGCACTCTTGCATCTTGCACACACTATTATAAAGAGTATTAGGGAGTATGATTGTTTCTGTATGTAAGAATGATAGTACCTCAAAGAAAACATAGTTGTGTGTAACTGTGCATGTCAGAGTTGTGTTTGTGGAAGAGTATAGTGGTGTATGTGTGCCATTGTGATGCTGATCATAGTTTTGGGACAAGTTGGAACAGAACGAGATGAGATCATGTTTGGCAGCCGAGTGTGCACGAGAGTTCTTAAGCTGCATTCAAAGAAGTTATAGTTGTATAATTAATTAGATGTATCACATATTCTACTCCTACTTTGAATCACACATTTTGATGTCCTGTGTTTGGAGATATCTTGGGTATTGATCATTGTTGGGTGTTTAAAATGTGGTTCGTTCTGTGTTGATGTGAGATATTATGAAACACAGCTCGTATGTGGACTTGACCCAACTTGCCCAGATTTGGCAGTTACAGATGCCAAAGAAAGGAGCTCAGCACGTTTCTTAGTCAAATAAATGTTGGAGTGTGACAGTTCTTTGTTCTGCTAACCTTCTCTATGTGTTCTATTTCTGTGATGCATCATTTCCATATTCATTTCCGTAGTTCCATATTCTCAGAAGAGCAGGTGTAGACCATCACCCTGCTGCATGTTGTCACTGGCCATGTTTGAGGTTTGGCTGCAGAGGATAAAACATCAGGCTCTGTAGGAGGAACTCATTCAGGTGGTCTGGCAGCTTTTCCAGGTACATTATTCCTTTTTTCTTCTATGTAGAGCGAATTAAACAGATAATGAACATGCAAACTGTAACATGCAGACAGCTGTGGGTTGTAGGTGAACAGAATACTGAGGTTAAACCCGTTAGGCTTTATTTCCTTTGTTCACTCTCTTCCCTTAAAAATCAGAGGTGGAAAGTAACAAAGTACAGTTTTTCACTGGAATTGTACTTTAAGTATTTCTAGTTGTTGATACTTTTACTTTCACTTTCTAAGGCAAGTTTATTTGTACAGCACATCTCAGCAACAATGCAATTTAAAGTGCTTTACATAAAACATAAAAGCAACACAGGGAAAAATAAAAATAGAAGTCAAATAGAAAATAAAAACAGGTGAATTTGTTCACCCATAATTCTAATGGGTTAGGGAAAATGTTGAGCTTTACCCGGAACTGCCCGGGCGCATCGTGACCCAGCGAGCTGAGAACTAGTCAAACTAGTTTAAAGTAAAAGACAGTATCAATGTTGACAACGTTGATGAGAGGATGAAGAGGGACTGTCCTTCTGCGCACGAGAAGAGAAAGAAACATCAGTGAGAGTGAACTGAACAGCAGTTCTGCTCTCAAAGTCTGATGTCAACAAATAGCAGTAGTTTATCTCTGTGTTTCCTGTCAGACTTTGTGTTTAAACAATGTCAGAGTGAAATACAAACTATTTATTATGTTGGATAAACCCTGTGTGGTAACCGGGGTTTATAAACTGCAGCTCCGAAAAGTTCCCGTAGTGTTGTAGTACTCATAACGGTCTTAAAGGTTCAGTGTGTAAGTTTTAGTGACATCTAGTGGTGAGCGTTACAAAACGCACCCCCCTCCCCTATACAAGCGAGTTGTATAGCTACGGTGTCTGAGACAGGACAAAGATGTCATCTTTGAGATAGCAGAGAGTTAATAGTCAAGAAATCAGGTTTCTTTAGATATTAAGAAATTATATTTACTTAATTATTCAGTAAAACATTGTACGTTGTATTTTCTGAATATTATTGTTACTTGTTCATTAATAAACAGCCACATGTCTCATACTCCTGTAATACAGTATTTTACAAGTTGGGAGGGTTGGCTCATCTGGACTAACACACTAAAGTAAATGAAAAACATCTCAAACACTATCACATCTAATGCATCAAGTATGAGCACTGACAGATACCAGGACAATGTAAGCTCACTGTTTCTGCACCACAGTCCATTACAAACCACATAATACATGAAGTTTACAAAGACATTGCCAGGTGAGGATCAAGGCTCCTCTCGTTTTGCTTAATTAGATAAGCAATCTGCAAATATTACCAAAATGTCTTTGTTAATTTTTTAAAATACAAAAACACAAAGTAGTACTGACAGCCATAATTTCAGCTTGTGGTAAAACGGTGCAAAGTTTTAATGGGCATTTAGCATGTGAAAGTACAAATTACATATTTATGTGTACAGTGGAGAAGCAATCTCTAATAACATTTTTTAAATGCAAATTCTGAAAGTATTCATTATTGGTCACTTGACAGGCACTCGGTCTTGTTATATATCACCATTAGCAGTAAAAAGAAATACATGTTTTCCACCAGGGCAGTAAGATGTGAAGCTTAGCTGCTGATCTGAGCTTCCCTGCTGGTTCATTACCAATAATATTCATCAGCTGTCTCAGGAAGGTAACGGGACATTTCTGTCCATGTAACAAAGCAATAAAAGAGGCTGGAGGAGAAAAGTGTAGCTGGCTGATATGAGCTTTGATGCTGGAAGCTGCCGTTTTATTTCCAGTTAGTGATCAGCTGATTGTCTCACTAACGTAACCAAAAAGCTAAAACAGAGCGCTGAAGAGAGAGTAACTACATAAAACTAATCCAACAACATATTTTTTTTTACCAGCGCAGTAAAAGTTTAGCTATCTGATCTGAGCTTCCAGCTGTAAGCTACAGTTTTATTGTTATTGTAAGCCAGTTAGTCATCAGCTGATTGTCTCACTAACGTAACCGAAAAGCTAAAACAGAGTGCTGGAGAGAGAGTAACTCTACATGAAACTAATCCAACAACATATTTTACACCACAAGCCAAAGCCAGCTCTGGTGAATAAATCAATCCAACCAACCTTACATGATTTTTCTATCAGGGCAGAAAAAGTTTAGCTGGCTGATGCTTCCATGATCTAAGCTAACGGCTAAGCTAGCTTACGATTTTATTGCCAGTTAACGTTACTGATCAGCTGATTGTCTCGCTAACTTAACCGGCAAAGCCAAACCACAGGCTGGAGAATAAATAGGCGACATGAAGTTAATGCAACTAAATATTGACTGGGGAAACACTTCACAGCTCTCGGTGAGCTTCAAGCTAAAGCTATCAAACAACAGCTTTCATTTGCGTCGCTAAAGTCTGACAAACTTTAATTAATTACTGTTGGACCGTGACTTTAAATTACCCTTTTTAAACTATGTGTAGTCCTTGGTCCAGCGTGTTCTTTCATGAAGCAATAGGAGAAGATGTTTTTGGTCCAAGTTCATCAGTTTTATTACAAGTAAATGAATAAAGCTTACAGAGCTCTGGGTTGATCTTCCTTTCCCTGATAAACAACAAGCTGTATCAGTTCATGAAGTCTGACTGGCTATCTCTCCCTGACCCAGTGTTTTAGTATACATCATCATGTTATAAAACAATAAAACAAAAGTGTAGGTCAGTCCATGATTGGCCCAAGTCCTCTGACCCCAATGTTTTATCTCTGACTCCACAAATTGCCATGCTGTTGCTGGGCAGATTACGAGCATAGATCCTGAAATGAGATATCTTGGAGAAGAGATGTTTGTACCACATTCCAAACTACCCCTCACAATGGTGGCCATCTTTCTCTTTATTCTATGGTATGTACATTCTGACTGAGAGTTATTTATTTCCTGTCTGTGTGGTGTGTCTGTCCTACAGTCTGTCTGTCTGTAAATGATCTGGATCTGGTTTGGGGCTAGGTGTCAGGGGGCTGGGACAAAGGCTTGGAATGATCTATAACCTGACAGGAATAATTGACTCCAGAATTCAAATGTCCATGAAGCTGATTGGACCCTAAACACATGCAGTTTCCATGTTTGGCTCCATTCCAGCCTTCTCTTAAACTGTTGAGCTTAATGACTCTATCAAGTTCTTTGCCTCCAGTTCTTATTTGTGAGATCCTCCCTGAAATGCTGATTCAAGGAGGAGAGGCTCACCTTGCAAACACAAACATGAGGCTCAAACTGCGACTCCAGTCTTGTGCGTCTGTCTGATAAATCCAGCTCATGTGTTTGAGCCAGAATGCTTCATATCTGTGGCTGAAAAACTGCTGCAGAAGCTGCAGGAAATCTGTCCCTTAGTCTTGTTCCTGCACTGATTGGCCAGTGGGTCATATCTGAGATTTCTGTTGGATGAAAAAGTCAGAAATGGCTCTGACTGCAGCTGCTGGGCAGAGCAAGATGACAGATTTGGGAGGAGGTGGACTTCACAACATGTTTCCAACTGCTTGTTGACTTTTACCAATGTTTTCCTGCAGGTGAGAAGAGATCATGTTGCTCCCATCTACCTCATCAACTTTCTCATCAGCGACCTGATTCAGTTCTGCTGCATGATCGTTCAGGTGGCACCAAATGTGGATGAGAAGATATCTGACATCTTCTTATTAATTTACCTCACTTCTCTGATTGCCAGTGTTGGCTTCATGGTCTGCATCTCCCTGGAAAGGTATCTATCTGTCTATCCAGTATGTGTGGAGCTCCTTCTGTGTCTGAACATTATATTAGTTTATAACTCTGAAGCTCCTCAAAGACTTTGTGTCCATCTTGTATTACAGGTATTTGGTCATCGCCCACCCACTGTGGTACCGCTGCAGACGAACCATCAAGACCTCTGTGGTGGTCTGTGTCCTGGTCTGGGTCCTTTCTGTTGTCTGTGTTGTCCTTGTATTTTTCTTTCCTGATGTGGTCATACTTATAGTATTCCCCATCATCTTCCTCCTTCCCTTCCCTCTGTTAATCTTCTTCCTGGTTGGGACCCTCAAAGCCCTGTCTGCTTCCATCTCGGTCCCCTCTGATGAAAAACGACGAATTGTGGGAATTTTGGTTCTGTTGCTGCTTATTTACACGCTGCCGTTCCTGCCTATCATACTTCAGTTTGTGAATTTAAAACACCATGAGAACCTCGCCATCTTGTTTTTCATCTTTGTTAGGTTGAATCCTCTTGCAGACTTGTTCCTGTATGTGTTCATGAGGAAAGGGTTCATAGACAAGATTTTGGCCTCTGTGTGTTGTTGCATAGTTGACAGCAGTCCATCAGTTTTTATTCCATTAGATGATGAGCCAGAACAAAGTCAAATGATAATTTAAAACCAGTTGTTGGTGTTCCCAGTTAACTCAGTCAGTGGTCAACAGGCCCCTCGATTGGATGGTTGTGTTCAAATATATTTTCTCTCTCTCTTTAAATAAATAATTATGAAGAAACTGTTTCACAATTTCACATGTGCTGCAGTGTGTGCGTCCTGGCAAGTGGACACATCCATCAACCTATGGATACTTATTTTGTAGGTACTATCCCTTAACAGGAAGTGATTATGTCACGGGCCAGATATTATTGTTCTAATCGACCGCTGATGTAGGCAGAGAAAGAGGGAGAGAGAGAAAGGGGAGGAAACAGGAGGAGAAATGGAGGCCAATAGAAAGGATAGAGACGAGACAGATCCTGTCATCTACTGAGACCATTTCCAATAAGACACCTAACTGTAGAGAACAGGAAGCACTGTTTGGACTCTGCTGTGGGAGAAGTGGCTGCTGGGAAATGTTTTGGTCAACTTGCTCTGGTTCACTGTGATGGCTTCAACACATGGAAATAAAATGTGTTTTATTAGTTTGGAGCTGGAAGTTGATGTCTGTCATTATTCTCCTTTAATCCCAGAAGCAAAGCAGATATTATTTTAGATGAACTGAGCTCATTCTAGCCGCCTCGCTGTCTTCTTCCTAAATCTTTATTTGGACTGTTGTTTGGATGTTTAACACAGGGAGAGCATCTCAACACGTCTTTAGCACTTTGTACTTTTTAAGTGTAATTTCTGCTGTTTTAGTGGTAGGCATGCTGCTGTTTAGGATGGGATTCAGAGCAGCTGTTTTACAGCAGCTGTTGTGTGCTTGGCAATCTGGAGAAAATCTTAAACCACAGTTTCTATGAAATTGTACATTGTCTGGAAATCCAATAAAAATCATTTTGTAGACCAAACTGTGAATGTTTGTCTTTGAGCAACTCAGTGAATTAAAAGCTGACAAATGAAGGTTCAACAAAATCTCTGCTGGTTGACAAATCTCTATTGTCTATATGAACATAAAGCCCAACCTGCTGTTAGCAGGGAGGCATCCTGCACTTTCAAGTTTCAACTTTTTTAGATATTAATTTGGGGCAGAAATGATAAAGTGTGACAGGGACAGTCACAACAGATCAATATCTAATATCACACAGGAAATGGGTCACATCAAATATTGTTAATGAAACTCTCTAGATGGAGGTATGGTGAGTATGAAGAAACAGAGATGAAGAAACAATAATCCAGAAGCATAAATCCAAATATAAGTGGTAGGGAAGTAGCCCAGAAGAATCAGGTGATAGTCTTTTAATCTGTAAGAAAGAATATAAATCTACAAAACACTGGGTGAAGATAACGAGGCTCAGGTGATGCACATCAGACAACCAGTGAGCACAGATACAGGAAGTAAAACTAGGGACAGACAACTACAAAATAAAACAGGAAACAAGAAACACAAACACCAACAAAACCCAAAACAATACAGTATGTATAGTCCACCCCTCACGCACATTTTGTTGTTTGTTGTTTGTTAATTACATATTTACAAAAATGTGCGTGAAATACTGAATGTGTTTGTTTAGACACGACTTGGATAAGACCAACATCAGTTTCTCCTTTATAATGTGAATCAGAATCAGCTTTACTTGATAGGGATTAAGGGAGAGAGACTCAGGGTGGGGGTTTGTCTCGACCCCCGGGTACCTAGCCACACCAGCCACTGAACCCCTTCATCCTTCTCCCCTTGACCCCTTTGTCTGCTGGTGATGGCGCAATGGATAAGACCATGGCTTTGGTGTGAGAGACCCGGGTTCAATCCCCCATTGTGACCCATCCACCAATGTGTCCCTGAGGAAGACAATTAACCCCTAGTTGTTCCAGGGGCGTGTGACCTCTGGCATATATATAGCAATTCTAAGTCGCTCCCTCCACCATAAATATTCTCCATTATCCAATCTCGTCCCCTAAAAGGGTTACTAGACTAAGCGGGAATGAGCTCTTTGGACGTAGGTGCGGGAAGACCAGTGGCTGAGCATTTTGGTCTGGAAGCCTTTGGCTGGAGGCGGAGGAAGCTGACCCGATGCGGAACGAGTGAAATCCTGGATTTGGATAGGATTTGTCAAAGATGGTGATGGAACTATAAGCGCGTAGCAACTCCGCCTGATTCTGTGGTGAATAGTGGGTCTTGTGGAGAAGCATGGTGGTGTAGTCTGTGGTTTACATAGGTCTGGATGGGTTCGATAGGGGCTCAGGTAGAAATTTAAGCGGAAGAGAAAAATGGGGTGAGAGAGGCCTAGCTGGTCTGTTTTTCTTCGTTTCAGAGAGAAAAAGAGAGGGATGGAAGGAGAGAGATGCATGCATTCGGAATCAGCTGAAGAGTCTTAATGGACTTTTTCGAGCAGCCTGATAATAAGGAATTAGTAAGAAGTAAAATGCATGGACTAGTTTTTCTGCATCATTTTTAGACAGGATATTCGTAGGTGAAAAAAGGCGGTCCTTGAAATTTGCTTAATGTGAGACTTAAACGACATGTCCTGATCAGAGATAACTCCAAGATTCCTCACAGTGGTGCTGGAGGCCAGGGTGATGCCATCAAGGGAAACTATATCTTTAGATAATGTGTCACGGAGGTGCTTGGGCCCCAGAACAATAACTTCAGTTTTAGCTGAGTTTAACATTAGAAAATTACAGGTCATCCAGGTTTTAACATCCTGAAGGCACATTTGAAGTTTAGCTAACTGATGAGTTTCATCTGGTTTGATCGATAGATATAACTGACTATCATCTGCATAACAATGAAAGCTTATGGAATATTTCCTGATAATATTGCCTAAAGAAAGCATATATAAAGTGAAGAGGATTGGTCCGAGGACAGATCCTTGTGGAACTCCATGACTAACATTGGCATGCATGGAGGACTCATCGTTAACATGTACAAACTGAAACTGATCTGATAAATAGGACTTAAACCAGCTTAGAGCGGTTCCTTTAATGCCAATGAAATGTTCCAGTCTCTGCAATAGGATCTGATGGTCAATGGTATCAAATGCAGCACTAAGATCTAATAAAACCAGTACAGAGACAAGTCCTTTGTCTGATGCAATAAGGAGGTCGTTAGTAATTTTCACCAGTTCTGTCTGTGCTATGATGAGCTCTGAATCCTGACTGAAAATCCTCAAATAAACTATTCCTTTGTAGAAAGTTACACAGCTGTTTAGCAACTGCTTTCTCCAGAACCTTAGAGAGAAATGGAAGGTTAGATATAGGTCTATAGTCGGCTAAAACATCTGGATCAAGGTTGGGCTTTTTCAGAAGAGGTTTAATTACAGCTACTTTAACAACAAGTCCTTTGCCTGATGCAATAAGGAGGTTGTTAGTAATTTTCACCAGTGCTGTCTCTGTGCTATGATGAGCTCTAAATCCTGACTTGCAACGGGCGAGGAGGTCTGATGTCAGGGGTAATCGTTTCGGAGGAAGCTGAGGTTCCGTTTTCCGGAGGCCCTTGATTAGCATGTTGATGTGGGGGTGAGAGATGGATGGAGTGGGTGCTCCGGACAGGAGTTTGACGATGAAGTTTATTCCACTGTGGTATACGTGGATGGTGGATGTTCTGATATTGAGGACCAAGGGGGCATAGGTAATGAAGCTGGTTACTGATATGATGTCGATAGAAGGAAATGGTAGGCCGAATGAGGTACGGAAGGTTCGGAATGTACACCACCCCGAATAGTATGATGAGAGTGTCTTGGGGGCGAGATTGTTGATGATTGATTGTTGTGTGACGAGACCAGGTGGAGAAGCTGGGTATTCACTTGAAGATCGTGTCTGAAAATTGAGGGACCGGTGTTGGATGGGGTTCTGAGTCTGGTGCTAAGGATTTGAATTTCTGAAAAGAGATGCCGTTCCAGGAGGACAGGAAGTCACGGGTGCAATCTCAGCTCCATTTTGCAAGCATCTTTGAGTACCACTTGGTCATGGAGGGATGGAACTGTGGCGGATAGAGACAATAAGTGGGAGAGGAAGGATCAGCCTTGGGGGATGATGCGGATGGCGAAGTTTAAGTGCCCGAGCAGAGAGAGAAGCTGGCGCTTGGTTCTCATCTATGGGCAAGGAGGTAGTTTGATGTACTGGGAAATGTAGTGTAATGTTTTTCGGTATGGAGGGAAGCTTGGAAGGAAAGTCAATCTTGGGTGATGCCGAGAAATTCGAATGTTGTGCTGGGTCCTTCCGTTTTTTTTGGGAAAAGGGGAACGCCGACCTGGAAAAAGGCCGACTTAAGGGTGGAGAGACCGTGTGCTGGAGGTGAGGATGGTGGCAGAAAGTTGTCCAACAGATGAATGGCATATGGAAGTTTGTGGTTGTTAAGGAGGATACAGCAGAGTACTTCAGGAAGTGAGTCAAATATCTTGGGCTGCTATTGCACCCAAATGTGAGGCGGACCAGGAAATAAGAAGAATTGTTCCAAGAGACGCCGAAAGAACTCCAGAAGTCAGGATGAATGGGCAAAACTTTGAAGGCGCTAGTAATGTCAGCTTTAGAATCAGAATCAGAAAGAGCTTTATTGCTAAGTAGTGTTTTACACATACGAGGAATTTGCTGTGGAGATAACATACAGTCGACATAAATAAATGTAGAAATATATAAATATGGAATGGAAGAACAACGTTGCAGATATATACATGTGCATTATTCTGGGTCTGTGCCGTGCAGAAGTAACGCAATGGAAATATATAAACTGACAATATAAAAAGATATAACAACAAAGATCAACAATCAACAACAAATATGTGCGACGTGCCAGGTCTGTGCACGACACGAGATGAAACAGTATTTACATGTGTAGAGACATTTGAATCATTTGCGGGGGGGAGTGTCAGTAGGGGACCCGGGCCTAGTTAATGAGGCTTGCTGCAGACGGGAAGAAGCTGTTTTTGTGGCGAGAGGTTTTGGTCCTGATGGACCTCAGCCTCCTGCCAGAGGGGAGAGTCTGAAACAGTTTGGTCCAGACTGTTCTGGCTGCACCAGGTCACACGATGGTCGATCTCCCACCTATAGGCAGAGTCATCCCCACCTGAGATGAGCCCAATGAGGGTTGTGTCATCTGCAAACTTCAGGAGCTTGACAGACTGGTGACTGGAGGTGCAGCTGTTGGTGTACAGGGAGAAGAGAAGGGGGGAAAGAACGCAGAACCTGAGGGGATCCGATCCTGATGGTCCTGGAATCAGAGACAATTTTTCCCAGCTTCACATGCCGCTTCCTGTCCATCAGGAAGTCAGTGATCCACCCACAGGTGGAGTCAGCCACGTTCAGCTGAGAGAGCTTGTCCTGCAGCAAGGCCGGGATGATGGTGTTAAAAGCAGAGCTGAAATGGGATGG